AATTCCATCCTCGCCTGGGGCTTTGCCGTTTTTAAGGTGCTGGACAGCCATTCTAATCTCGCTCAGACTGACGTCCGGGATATCTTCGGAATGGTTTCAGATCAAACTCGGTCTTGGATTGTTACTCACACTTGCATGTGGCTCCAACGATGACGTGAACAGCTGCCCATAGAACCTCTCAATCTCACTCAAAATTTCAGGTGCCCCGGAAACGATGCTGCCAGACTCGGTCTTCAGCTTTGACAGTTGGCTCTTTCTGGCAGACAGATCTCTGGCAAAGACTTTGGTGCCTTGGTTCCGCTCGGTCGCTTCTTCAATACAAGCTGTACAGATCTGTAAGAGATCTGTCTGTTCAGTTGCCTGTATGCTGTCAAATCTGTTGATGAATGTAGCTTCATCTCCCGTCTATCAGCCATGAGATTAAGAATATGATCGGAGAGTTTTTGTGTTCTTCTGCGGCGGGTCTTGCAGAATTTAGCTCCGACCGTATGGACAGTTTCCACGAGCTTGTCATTCATATCGTCCACTTCATTGCAGTCTTCTAGGCACTGTAAACGGTTTTGTAACTCGAGCTGAAAGGTTTTGGGACTTTGAATCAGAGCACGAGGGGGACGGAGCGTTGACTTCATTAGACGAGACCTCTCCAACTTAACGTTTAGTTTCAGTGTACCTCTGATCATTCGGTGATCGCTGCCAGTTTTCACCCTCGCGATCACGGAGACATCACTGAACAGTTGTCGTCTGGTCGTCATAATGAAGTCAATCTCATTTTTTGTCGAACGTTGGGGCTCGACCAGGTCCACTTGCTGTGGGGCTGTTTCTGCAAAGGTTGAACGGCAAGTTTACATTGTGGCTAACTGAAACCTACATTTATCCTTGATTAAAAATCTTTATGCAGATTATTTTTACGTGGTAGAGCCATGCTGCAGCTATATTAGTAGTATATAGTTTTAGCCGTACAGAATACCAGCCTAAAATAGCAGCTGAACACTGCTGAGTTTCGTATGATGAGTGTATAGAACTGGAGACCCATTTTACTGGAAAAAAGGCATTACATCTTAGTCCTCACGGGTGACAACGCATCTGCATTTTGATTCTTTATTGAAGATAGATGTGGATGTCTTTAGGTCACAGCAACCACTTACCATCAGGTGGACTGTGTACTCGTTTGTCACCCTATCCTATATAAAAATGCAGATGTGAACCTTCAGGACTATGTTGTAATTCCGCGTAATCAGTGACAATAGTCTCCGATACTTGTCACTCACCATTGGTATTCATGTTGTAGCCGTGATACAGCTTCAGTATAGATCATTTCGTCAAATACCTAATATAGAAGATGATGACACCGCCGCAATCAACTTCTTTTGTCGACTACTACGACATTACCTGGATATCGACGATGTGTAACATTCTCCAACACCGCCACCATTGAGCTAAAGGTATTGATAATGGCTTCGTATCACAGTGGCTTTGCACTACGGCACTGTGTGTCGCGCGGGTTCGAATCCCAAACGAAACAATATTAGAAGAATCCTAGTGTGGCGGTAACGTTATTTTAATTTTTTTTAAATATTTGTTTTTTGTACGTTACATTTAACAACGAAACGTCAGATATAAAACATGCTAAGCTGTTAATGAGATTCTTGATTAGATCCTACAAATAGAAACGCTATCAGAAGTAATTTGCAACTACGACAATGTTGGCTGTCACAAAGTTACAATTTAATTAAGAAGGTTTCAAATGTCTCGAGCAATCAATGAAACTAATTAATCAAATACCTTTTCTTTAGAATTTGTTTCCGTACTTTATTAGATCCAATGCGATCTGGGAGTACCAATTACAGTTTCCCCTCTATATGGTAATTTTGTCGTAAAAGCACTTTTACGGTGACTACAATGCTAATTAACAACGTAGATAAAAAAAAATACATCTAATTTCTTGATACATTGTGTTGCGTTGAGGGCCGCGGGTTTGAATCCCGCACAGAACAAGTGTTTGTATGACCTACAAATAATTGTTCTGGGTCTGGATGTTTGGCTTTGTGCAATTTGTGTCTGTAAAATCCTCGTGTAGGATTAATGTTTTAAAAAAAGAATACAGTCCTTTACTAAACTATGACCAAGAACGTTAATCTCAATATTAAAAGGCCTATCCATATGTTTATTGAATTTTGCTTACGAACGGATGAATCTACTCGTCATTGAGGGGTGGGGGTGAAGCGGTGACGGCGCCGCGGCGCCTTTGATTTTTAGTCTGAAATTTCAACGTTATTAGAAACAGAAACAGAAACAGAAACGTTTTTATTCAATATAGATTATAAATAATACTTATTGAAACTCACATTTTTGTTTAATTACCACTGGTTCGAAAAAAACCTCTGTCCTGGGAAGAACTAGCAAGAAACCCAGCGGGACTTTTTTTTAAATAACTGCTTACAATTATGTATGTTACACAATTAGCAACACAAAAAAAATTAGAAATAGCGTGGTAGCGGTCACCTCGTTTCCAGGGGTTATTATCATCCATAAATTCTTTAATATTATAAGAACCATTTTTATGTAAACTCAGTTTAATAAAGTTTTTGAACTTTGAGCACGTCAAATTTTGTATATTTTCTGGGATTTTGTTGTAAAAGCGTATACATCGTCCCAAGAATGAATTGCTGACTCGATGGAGTCGAGTAACTGGTACTACTAGCTTGTGTCTGTTCCTATTATATTTACAGAATGATTGTTACTTATTTTTGTAAAACTACTTTTATTTTTGTGTACATTTTAATGACGTTTAATAAATGCCGCGTTGCGAAATATGATATTTAAAGAAATGAAATGTCGTTATTCTTATATACCTTGATGATGCCGTGAGGCCAAACCAGTCTGTTTTATAGTTAGTAAATACCAACATACACAAATTTCTACAATCAGGCGCAAAACTATAACAAGGGTCTGTGTATTAGATAGTAATGATTATGGTAACAAAGGCGGGGGTAGGGGCAACAAGAAGCTCCAGTGGAGGTACATATAAGCTTATTTTCGGCAAATTGTAAGTCGGAACTCAAAATAAATTTACAAATAGGAAATTTTTTCATAAAGCTATGTACGTACACTATTATTCGCAATAACTTGGGCCACGATGATATGTGTTGAATGAGTTCACACAGCGGTGATCCAGGAAAGTCTGTAGTGCTGCACGGCGGACCTTTGTTCTGGTATATCTTCGATGGGCTTATTGCGATCAAAGTTATTGATTGGTCACTCAGAGGGACCACGAGAAGCCCATGGAGGACCGTTGTACCATAAATGGTGTTCCATAAGACATGCCGGAGTAAGACCACGTGACAAGCAATCTGCTGGATTTTCAGAGCTTGCCACGTGATAGAACCAATTAGCGGGTATAAGCTCGGTAAGTGCTACGACACGATTGGCGACAAAAGTCTGCCAACGATGCGGGGAGGAATTTATCCATGCAAGCACGATCATTGAATCGCTGAAGGCGAATACATTTTTCACATTATAAAGCGGAGATATTCTGTCTAGGATCTTACGAAGCAATTTAGCTAACAACATTGCCGCACAGAGTTCCAATCTTGCGACTGAAATAATTTTTATCGGTGCAACTTTAGACTTGGCGCACAGGAGTTGCACTGAGTATTCGGAACCATATTTATATACTTGCATGTATACGACCGCACCATAAGCACGCTCGCTAGCGTCAGCGAAGCCAATGAGGCGAACTTGACACCACTTCTTCACCCCAAGGTGACGAGGAAGTTGAAGCCCATTGAGTGCCGATAGATCAGAACAAAAGTGAATCCACGCAGAGACCACATGGTGTGGTGGTGTGTCATCACAGTCACACTTTAATAACCAAAGCTCTTTAATTAAGAGTTTGGCGTATACAATGGATGGAGCCACAAATCCTATTATGTCGCACAATTTAGCCACCGTTGACAAAATTTCAGTACATTTATCTTCTAGTCTGACGACTTTAAAATAAAAGCAATCATTTGACCGATCCCAATACAAGCCAAGAATTTTTTGCGGTACAGACTTCTCAAATTCTACGTCCTGTGGAGCCTTGTGATCATCAGGTATATGCGCGAGAATATCGTTATAATTACTTGTCCATTTTACAAGATCGAATTACCCTAGCTTGAAGAGCTGAATAAGTTCTTTTGAAATCCCTACCGCTTGGGATGATGTCATCACACTTATGGCCAGATCGTCCATATACAGAGCGGAAGAGACAGCGGACACTGCAGCGGGATATTTGTCACCTTCGTCAGTCAAAAGCTGTTTAATTACGCGCAAAGGATGATATGGACTGGATTTTAGGCCAAAACATACGCGGTTGAAGCGATATGCTTGTAATGGTTTATTTACATCAAACCTATACAAAATGCGATGAAATTCACGGTTATATTCCGACAAGCCTATTTGCATAAACATCTCTTTACAGTCCGCAGATAATGCAATTTCAAATAATCGAAAATTAATTATTATATTAAATAAATCGCCTTGTAAGTTGGGACCCGCATGCAGGATGGCATTAATTGATTTTCCAGATGTGGATTTGGAACTAGAGTCAAAAACCACTCTTATGGTCCCCACTCACGGTCAGTTAAACTACCATCAGTTCAACTGATCATTTCAAACGGATTTAATCCAAAAAAATTTCGACACACACGGTCAGTTCAACTGATAAGTTCAAACTAGGGCTGTTGATATTTTTAAAATATCGGGTTTTCAATATATCGATAATTATAAATATATCAATGTCGGAGTTTTATATATGGGAAGCATAAGCGATATATTGATGCTGATTGCTTAAAAATGATTCACACAGTTTATAATTTAGTATATTTATTAAACAAATTAAATTATAAATGTATGAAAATGTTATAGTTCTTAGTATTTATTTTACTAAGAACTATAACCTATTGTTTTGGTATTAAGGTTCACTACTTTTACAGGGACTGATCACAGAAACAAGGTGTCAATGATACGGTGGTTTATTTGCTACTAAACATTTAAATTACATTTTACCTTATTAAAGACCTCACTCACACTTGTATACTGTTCATCTTACATACAACACACACGCATTACAATATTGCTCGAACATGCCGCCCACCAAAGGACTCATAAAGTCCTTTATTATCTAACTTGTTACATTTCAGACATTCTCCAAATATAATAATTTTACATGACATTTGTTATACAATATATGTGATTACATACATGTTTGATAAAGGTAACACCCTAAATTCATTAAGCTTTATAGTAATGGACATATTACAATCAAAATAAAAAAAAAACTATTTGACACAATTTTCATGTAAATGGGAATACATACTAGAACATTTAATACATGCAAAATAAAATTTAACCATAAATGATTTAGAATAAAACATCAGTCTATATCTATAGGTAAAGGACACAATTTGTTCATTGGTCTTTGCACTACACTTTCACCACTTTTAACACTATACACCCTAGTCACTCCATCATGACCTGGGTGCTTATCCACCACACGACCCAGCATCCATTTGCCAGGAGGGAGATTGTCACATTTTATAAGAACAATGCGTCCTATTTCAAATTCCTTCACCTTTTCTTGCCACTTAGGTCTCTGCTGTAACCTGGTCAAGTACTCTTGTTGCCATCTTCGCCAAAAATCTGATAGAAGCTTCTGTTGATGTTGCCATCGTGACAAGTGGCTGACAGGAATGTTCTTTAGATCAGAGTGGGGTACATTGATTGGAGCTTCGCCTATTAAGAAGTGCCCTGGGGTAAGTGGCAGTATGTTGTCCGTATCTGAGTCATCAATAGGGCTAAGCGGGCGTGAGTTAAGGCAAGCTTCTATTTGACACAGTAAGGTCGTCATTTCTTCATAGGTTAGGTTGCAAGTCAATATTCTTTTCATGTGGTATTTCATTGATTTGACACCTGCTTCCCATAATCCGCCCATGTGAGGACTATAGGCAGGTATGAAATGCCATTGTGTGCCATCTAATGCTAACATTTCAGAAATATGACCCTCGAACTTCATCTTTGCGTCTGCCCAAGCTGCTACAAGTTCTTTGTTGGCACCTACGAAGTTTCTTCCCTGGTCGCTCCAGAGATGTGCACATCTTCCCCTTCTTGCTACAAATCTTCTGAAAGCTCCAATAAAGGCCTCCGAGGTAAGGTCTCCAACCAATTCTAGGTGTATGGCTTTCGTTGACATGCAAACAAAGATTGCTATGTAAGCCTTAATTGTATTAAATCCTCTACCTTTAGATCTCAGGATTTGGTAAGGGCCAGCAAAGTCTACTCCACTGTGTAGAAAGGGTCGAGCAGGCGTAATTCTTACACGAGGTAAGTCTCCCATTAATTGTGATTTAGCTACAGCGTTTTGCTTGGCACATATGAGGCAATTGCGAATTTTAAATTTTACCAATTTCTTTGATTTCAGGATCCAGTATTTTAATCTTAAATATCCAAGCATCAATTGCGTTCCACCATGTAGTGTCTTCAAGTGAGCATCAGATACTATAAGTGCACTCAAGTGATTTTCGCTGTCTAATATAATAGGATGTTTGCAATTTTCATCAAGGTCAGAGTGACGTAATCGGCCGCCCACCCTGAGGATACCTTCATCATCCAGGTAAGGTAAAAGAGACTTTATTTTACTATAATTTTTTACCCTTTTTATTGATTTTAGGTTTTGTATGTCTTCTTCAAATGTGTCCCTTTGTACAATTTTTATACATGTTTTTAAAGCTTCTTCTAATTCTTTTGTAGTTATTGTAGTTGCCTTATTTTCCAATTCCCTTCCTTTGAAGAATCTTTTGCAATATGTTATAACCTTTAATAGTTCTGTTAAATTATCAAATCTGTTAAACTTAGTAGCTATACTAGAACTTTCGTTTGTTTGTTTTAGATTCACTTGTACTGATATGATCTTTCTTTCTAGGTTCGTTGTTATGTTTGCTGGTCTGCTGTATTTAATATTACTTGTGCTTAGCCATTCAGGACCGTTCCACCACATTTTATCACCTTTCAGATCTAGCACGTGCTTCCCTCTAGAAGCTGCATCAGCAGGGTTGTCTTGTGATTGGACGTGATACCAATTCTGGTTGCCAATGTTGTCTAATATCTCAACAACTCTGTTTCTCACAAATGTATTCCACCTTGCAGGATCTCCAAAAAGCCAAGAGAGTACTATGGTGGAATCCGTCCACGCGAATATTTGACAGGTAGGTATTTTCATAGCTTCCTTTATTTTTTTCAGGAGTCCCGCCAGGAGTACAGCCCCGTTAAGCTCCAAACGAGGTAAGGATTGAGGTTTGATAGGAGCTAAACGTGTTTTCGCTGCGATTATTTCTGTCTTAACCAATCCATCTATAGTTTGAACTCTTAAGTAAGCAACTGCAGCGTATGCTTGAGTAGATGCGTCACAAAAACCATGAACTGTAACATTATTCATTACATTTTCAGATGTATGCAGCCACCGGTTGATCTCTACCTCAGGTAAGTATTGGTAGCTTTCTCGCAGTTTTCTCCATTTTTCTGCAATTAAGTGGTTAACTTCTTCATCCCATGAAATTCCTTGTATCCATAAATGTTGTATGAGTAATTTTGCAGGCAATATAGAAGGTGCTAACCAGCCAAGTGGATCAAATAATCTTTGAATGTCGGCTAGGATTGTTCTCTTAGTTACAGTAGCAGCCATAGAAGGTAAGTGAAGACTATATTTAAATACATCTTTTCCCATGTCCCATTGTAAGCCTAGTGCCCGTATTGTTCCATCTATCTTTATATCTAGGTGTACTTGAGAACTTCTTTCAGAGGGTTCAAATTGTTTTAAGAACTCTGCGTTGTTTGAGCACCACTTCTGAAGAGTGAAACCTCCCTTCTGCAAAATAAACCCAATCTCTTTCGCTACTTTGATTGCATCTTGAAGTGTGTCCTTGCCTGACATCAGATCATCCATGTAAAAGTCTTCCTTTATAATTCTGGCAGCATCAGAGTAATCTCGACCTTCGTCTTCCGCAACTTGATGCAAGGTTCTTACTGCTAAATATGGAGCAGAAGCAGTTCCAAACGTAACTCTCAGGAGACGATAATCTTGTACTGGTTGGATTTTGCAATTTCTCCATAATATCCTTTGTAAATCTCTATCTTCTTTTGAGACTAAAATTTGACGGTACATTTTTTGGATGTCAGCAACAAAACAGATCCTTTTCATTCGCCATCTCATGATTAAGCTTCTCATGTCGTCTTGTAACTGTGGTCCTACCAGTAGCTCTTCATTGAGGGAAATGTTATTGTTTCCCTTTTGCGAAGCATTAAAAACTGTTCTCACTTTACTTGTTTCTTTATCTTGCCTTACAACGGCATGATGAGGAAGGTAGACTGCTGGGTTGTTAATTTCATTTTCTGGTACTCTCTCTAAATGATTTAACTCTGTATATTCTTGCATCACCCTTGTGTATTCACTTTCTAAGCTTTGATCTTTTTCGAATTTCTTTTCTAATTGATACAAATTTCTTAGTGCTATATCTCTTGTTCTTCCTGATGGTGATAAAAGTGTTTTTTGTTTTGTTGGAAGTTTTACAATATAACGTCCTTCTGATGTTCTGTGCGTTGTAGCCTGATATATTTCTTCACATGTTTTTTCTTCTGCTGTTAATGCTCTTTTTTCATCTGTACCTTGCTCCCACATATTCCTCAGCATGTCATCTAAATTCAAATTAAGATGCATGACACTGACCTCATAATTTTCTCTGTTGCTTTGTATGTGGCCAAACAGAATCCATCCCAGGCTGGTATTTTGAGCACATGGAGTGCCTGGAGGACCTTTGATTACTTCACCTTTCATAATTTGGGCACATACGTCCACACCTAATAACATATCTATCCGTCCTGGTTGATTGAAGCCTGGATCTGCTAATACGAGGCCTTGGAGGTGTGAACAGTTCTTCAGGCAAATGGTTTGAGTTGGTAACTGACATGTAAGACGAGTTGGCATTATGTAAACTTTGATATTGAGGTTAAAGTTTGCTTCGTATCTTGATAAAAGTTGTATTTCAGCAGCTTGCTTCAAAATTGTTTTGCTGCATCCCATGCCTGTAACTGTACCTTTAATAGCAGTGCGTTTCAGTTTAAGTGTCTGAGCAGCTCTTTCACTTATAAATGTGGCTTGTGAGCCATGGTCTATTAAGGCACGTAGTACAGCTGTATGTCCCAGTTGATCCCTGACAACTATGAGTGCTGTAGCCAATAATGCTGTGGTGGTACTAGTAGCAAAGTGTGATGATAACTGAACATTTGATATTGTTGGATTTGCAGAGCTTCCTTGATCATTATTCTTCGCTTCGTGCGCTTGGTCATTGTCTGGTTGATTTGATGACTTCACCATGTTTTGGTGTACTAAAGAGTGGTGACGTTTATGACATATACGACAGGACATGTTGAGACGACATTTCTTTGCAGAGTATCCTGGGGCCAAACAATTAAAACACAGATTGTGGTTCTTTAGATATTGACACCTTTCTGTTGGTTCCATCTTAGTAAATTCCCTACAGTGACACAGTGTATGATTTTCTTTACACATTAGGCAACTCCTTAATTTAGACGTAGCCGCAGTAGCAACATGTAGCGTATTTTCTTTATTTCTTATTATCTTGTCCCTTGGTGAAGGTGTGATTAACTCTAATGTACGAAATTTCGATTGTAAAAACTTACAGAGATCCGCCCACAAAGGTAATTCGTCAGAATTTTCCCGGTAAGCAAACTTCTCCCATTCTCTGTGCGTCTCCGGGTCCAACTTCTGCACAACGAGAAATATAATTAATGGATCCCAAGAGTCGGTTGAAATTGTAAGATTTTTTAAGCTATTAATGCATTCTGTAGTGGTATCGAGAAGTGCTTTTATATAGTTTGCAGTTTGGGCAGGGATTTTCCTCTGCATAAATAATCTTTTCAATAGAGAATTTACTATTATACGTTTATTTCCGTAACGAGTTTTAAGCATCACCCATGACTGATCATAATTATTTTCTGTTACTTGAATATGCTTCAACAGAGTTTCGGCTTCACCACTAAGGCTACTCTTTAAATAGTGAAGTTTTTGTACTTTACTAAGAGATGAGTTGTTGTGCACTAACGACATAAATAGATCTTGAAATGCAGGCCATTCTTCGTAAATACCGGTAAAAGAAGGCAGTTGTATCCGTGGTAATTTGACTATTCCTTCATTGGATGTAATAGGGTTGGTAGGTATACTAGGATGCAATGATATCGGCTGTGTTAATGTTGACAATAAATCTCTTAGGTCGGCTTGTAAACATAAATATAGATCCTCATAAATAAAATAGTCTTCGTTTGCGAAATAAGGTATATTTTGCTTCTTTTCTTTGGGAACACATTTTACAAGCTCTTGATGTGATTTTTTAAAAGAATTCCAATACTCTTCTATCATTTGCAGTCGAGTTTCAATGTATCCTTTTGTAAGTCGCTGCTTAGGACATTTCTTTAGGTTGTTCTGAGCCTTTTGTAATAATGCCGCAGTATTTTCTAATAAAGATAATATTTGTTCCGGAGTAGTGGCCATATTTATATAAATGTTCCACAAATGTATAAAACGTTCCACAAATGTAATATAAACAAACTAGTTTCACTTCGATAACTCAAATATGTAATTATTCAAACGTTCGTAAAATGTCTTATAACTTGCACAAGTCCCACTCAGGTAAAAAAAGGTTCTTTTGTTCTTGCCTCGACCGCCCGGTCCGTCCTTTTGTTTAGTACTTGATAGTTATAACGTCACAAGAGACACATCGTTAGATCCGGCTCGATTATCGACCATATGTTTTGGTATTAAGGTTCACTACTTTTACAGGGACTGATCACAGAAACAAGGTGTCAATGATACGGTGGTTTATTTGCTACTAAACATTTAAATTACATTTTACCTTATTAAAGACCTCACTCACACTTGTATACTGTTCATCTTACATACAACACACACGCATTACAATATTGCTCGAACACCTATTTATTAAAGAGCCATGGTAGCTCAGATGGTTAGCTCTCGCTGTAAATTTCACAGTAAGCGAGTAGCCCGGGTTCGATCCCCGCTGGCACTAATGAAATTGTTAATTGAAATTTTAAGTGCTGATTTACCTCGTGCTCGGCGATGAAGGAAAACATCGCGAGGAAACCGGCATGTCTGAGAAATAGAATAAAAATTTCAGAAAACGTGAAGTTCGCCAAGGGTTTAATTATTGTTTAATTTAAATAAGACAATTATGTTTACCAATATTTGTCAGTAAGACTTTTCAAAAATACTCGTTGTTTTATATGTTCAGCTGTTTCAATACTCCAATTATTGGGCACTAAAAGATTGTTGTAGAAGTAATTCGTTCCGATGCTTTCGATGCAGCTGAAGAAATCAAGTATTTAACAGCTATTTCTGATAGCACTGAAGTAAATCATAAGACGCCTAATTGAATAAAATAACTTGAGGCTTATACCAACATCGAAGCACTTATTTTGGTCGCTTTCTCTAATAGGTCACATGTGCAGACACTTAATACACATAATCGTATCACTTTGATAAAATCCACTTCAAACGATCATTTAAACGATAAAACAGGAGCAACCATCCGTCAATGGTCAAGCTCCTGCCAAAACTCACAGTAAGTAAAGTAGTACTAAGTTTCATAAATTATAGTGTTTTTAATATCACAGAGATATACTTTACAAAATTACATTTCTTTTTAAGATAATAAGCAAATAAATGAACTGGGGAAAAATGAAAAACATAATATAGTGTAAATAAAGTATAGTAGATTGGGTCCATCAAGAATTAGGATTTAAGTTTACGATGATCATTTAATCTACATCTAAAATACTAATACATACAATAAAATACTAATACATACAATCATTTAATCTACAACATCATAGGTGTAGATTAAATGATTTACGTAAAAAAATATAAAAATTAAATTATTTAAAAAAATATATCGACTGTCGTATATCTATATTTCAATATCAAACTTATATTTCAATATATGTCGTCAAAAAATATTAGAAATAAATATCGGTATTTCTAAATAATAAAATAGATTTTTCGATATATCGATATTTTATCAACAGTCCTAGTTGAAACGTGGGGCATGGCCGTGGGCGTTTGGTTTGCGTGACTCCTATAAAATATCATATATATAGATAAATTAAATGATATTTAATAATACCTAAATCTTATTTAATAGCATTTCCTGTCTATTAATATATATCTATACAAATAAATAAAATTGAAGTGTCTATATGTAATGTCAAAATAACAGTTTTTTTACTAAATGCATATGAAAGTACATATGGTACTTATAATAAAAACACAATTTTTAAAACCTTTGTCTATCGTTCTTTCTGTATGTCTGTCTGTCTGTCTGTTTGTTCCGGCTAATCTCCGAATTGTCTGAACCGATTTTGACGAAACTTTCAGTGCAGATAACTGATATTATAAGGAGGAACTTAGGCTAATTTTAGTTTAGAAAAAGAATTAGGGTTCCGTGCAAAAAAATTAAAACTCATGAAATCCAATCGTAATAAATTACACGCGGGAAAAATCGCGGGGAACAGCTAGTTAATAGATAGGAAATGATATTTTCAATTTATAGGAGTCACGCCAACTAAACGCGCACGGCTGCGGCTTCATCGATCGAGAAATGAAATCTATTCCGTATATAGGTATATATGTATATAAATAACGTTTCCTATATATTAACACTTCAAAAGATATTTTTTTTCATGATAAGGTAAGGTAAGGTAAGACACTTTTAAGAAATGGGTCAGATATTATGATAATTTTACTCATTATGGTAAATTTTATTGATTTAATATTATTGTATTATATTAGTGTTATTTATTTTTATTTGTTTATTAAATAACCTATCTGTAGAGGGGTCTCACTGATACTAACTTGCACTCCGGTTACGGTGAACCCCAAAAAATCCGTGGGCATGGGCACATTCTGAAGGTCTTATCATGACCAGATTATGCTTATCGGTTTTTAGTAACGGAAATAGTTAGGATGGCCTAGTTTTCTGTGTTTATTTAATTGAGCTCTCGACGTGTTACATACTAAAATAGTTGAAGCACCCAAACGTCACGAATTAAAATAAGTTAAACAAAATAAAATCCGTAAAGTTTGTTTTATTAAATGTGTAGTATTCGTGTAATAAATCAGTCAAAAATCATTGAATTCTAAATACTGCGTACAGGTAACTTGGTCATTTATAGGAACTGGTGTTAATGGTGCTTGTAGGTTTTCTTAAAGTACGCAGATATTTTCGTCTTCTGGTTGTAGTTGGTTGTGATATTTTCGTTCTGGTTTTTTTATTGCCTGTAAAATATATGGTCGATTTCTAATTTTTTACCTACTTAGGAGTTTTGCTGCTTTTTAATTGCATGAAAACATTATAAAGTGAGTAATAATACTGTTTGTACTATTTATTATATTTATATTATTTGTGAAGTTACTTCTTGAGCCCTTCCAAATGGGCCCAAACACGATGGTGTTCCGTAGTGGTGGATGCTCCGATCTGCAAGAAAGCTGGTGATCCAATTGCATAATTTCTCGGGAAGTCCATAGGAAGGGAGCTTCGAAAGAAGCGCTTTGTGCCAAACCCGATCGAAGGCCTTCGCAATGTCCAAATAAACGGCCAATGCCTCCCTCTTGGACTCTACTGCCTCCGCCCATCTATGAGTTAAGTAGACCAGAAGATCACCAGCTGATCGACCCCGACGAAAACCGTACTGGCGGTCACTTATCAGCTGGTGATCCTCAAGGTACCGCATGAGGTGGCAGTTTATAACGGATTCCATTATTATGGAGAACAAGGGGTTGATGGCGATAGGCCTGTAGTTGGACGGGTCTGAGCGGTCGCCTTTTTAGGGATCGGGTGGACAAAAGCTGTCTTCCATGATTTCAGGACTATACCTAGGGAGTAGGAGTACCAGAAAAGACGCGTTAGAACCGGTGCCAAATCCGGAGCACACGTCCTCAGCATAATTGGGGGGATTCCGTCAGGCCCACTCGACTTGTGGATGTCAAGGGAGAGGAGTGCTCTGCGAACCGAGCGCTGTGAGAACCGCACATCCGGCATGGAGCACTCACACCGCGGGATGGTCGGCGGTGTGTTCCCCCCGTCATCAACAGTCGAGTTCGACGCAAAAAGGGAGCCTTAAAGGTCGGCTTTCTCTTTTACGTCGTGGGCCAGTGAGTCGTCCTCCCTGTGCAGAGATGGTAGTGATGGCTTATAGAAATTCCCTTGGACAGCCTTGGCGAGAGACCAGAATGCACGAGTTCCTGAAGGAAGGCGAACTAGTTTCTCGCCAATTCTGACTATGTGCTCTGACTTTGCCTTTGCAATAACTCTTTTGAAGGACCTGGAGGCGAAGTTATACTTCTTTTTAAGTGTGCTGGTGTTTACATCCCGAGTCGCCGAAGCCGCAGCCCAGGCTTGATAACTCTCCTGCTTACTGCGTAATGCAGTCTTACAGGAGCGACCAAACCAAGGCTGAGATCTGCCTCCGATGGGTACCACAGATGATGGAATAAATAGTTCCATTCCCTGTAGCACCACATCAGTGACAGAGTCAGCAACAGCGCTGGGATCATCCGGCGAGAAACAAACCCATCCATGGGTAGGAAGCAAAGAAAGACCGCATTCCGTCCCAATCCGCCGACTTGTAATGACAAACACGGCGGCAACCTGCAGAAAGCAACCGCGAGGGGAGCGTGAGTGGCACCACACTCCGGATCAGATAATGGTCCGAAGATCCAAGAGGGGCATCGACGTAAACCTGATATCCGTCCGGATGAGAGGTCAGCAGAAGTTCCAACAGGGAAGGTGTATGATCCTCAACATCTGGAATCCGTGTAGGCGATGTAACCAGTTGTGTCAGACCATATGCCAAGGCAAGTCATAAATAGATCTCCCCGCATGATCGGTTAAACGTGAACCGAGCCATACGGCATGGTGGGCGTTAAAATCGCCAAGGATCACGATCTCTGCGGATGGGACCTGTTGTAGCAAGGAATCTGTAGTCATTTGGACGTGGTCGATGAGACGGTCTGTTTCGGCAATATCGCTATGGGACCTATAGAGGCACCCGTAGACGCGCGGATGGTTGTCGCTGTCTACGCGTAGCCAAAGGATGGACAGGTCCGAACCTTCAAGACTGCCGAGGCGTCGAGAGCAGATGTCCTCTCTGACATACAAGCAAACTCCAGCCCAAGGCACAAAGGAATGCTCCAATTTGTACCCCGGGTAGGAGAGATACGAAATATCAGCCGGAGAGGAAACCTGCGTCTCGGTCAGAAAGAGCAAGGCCGGCTTCGCCGTCTCGAGATGGTAGTGGACGGCGTTTAGGTTAGAGTGAAGTCTCCTAATGTTGCATAAATTCACGGATAGCGTGGCAGGGGTCGCCAGGTTTATGTGCAACGAAGTCAAAGGCATTTGACTTCGTTGCACATAAACCTCTTCTGAGCAAACTGGAATCTCTCGGAATCAGACCATTATTATGGATATCGTCTTATCAAAGTGGGCGTAAACAAAAAGTTGTCCTCAAAAAATATTTAATAATGAAATTAGTTCTATTTCGTCTGAATATAGAGAATACAGCACTGGTGTCCCACAAGGAAGTGTACTTGGTGGGTCCATTCATACTTTACATTAATGACATAACAGAAGTAACAAAACATCAATGTACTTTATATGCTGACAATATATCCATAATTGTTACATCTAACAAATCTCAAAACAATGTCTCTTGGCATAATCATGAATGTGATTCACTTCACACACAATTGAACTTCAAGATCTTCCAACTCATCGGGCTTCGGTAGTAGGACGATTCTATTTAGGGCGCGCCGCACAA